CGCTTGCGACTTTAATTTTATTTTACTGTTGGTAACGTAGAAGTTAGATTATCATCACACATGGATTTTTCACTGTTTAAGAAAACCTAAATATTCTAGGCTTTTAGTTATTTGGACAGTTTCATTAGGGGCTATGAGTGTAGGTTTGTTTTTTTGTTTATTAGTGCATTATTATGTGCTGTTCAATCTCACATGTCAAGTTTTGACTCTCTCAGTCACTGTCATGGGTATAGCTGAATAAAGCTGCAAGAGACACTAATGTAAAAATGGCTTATGTGTAAACATCTAAAATGCCTTCACTTTAACAGATCGATGAAGCCAACGATGTTGCATATCCTATGTCTGCAAAGGGCTTTATGCTTCAATATTTAGAGAATGGTGTGCGTCCAGCTTGGTGAACTTTGTGAGACACTTGGAGGCCCTTTCCTGTTTTAGCATTACTAACACCAAAACCAGCTTTATAAAGAAATGTTTGTTTCTAGTTTGGTGTTGAAAAACTTCACAGATATGTATCATCAAATGCAGGGCAGGTCTTCGTGATATTCCAACTTAAGAAACTCACAGTATACAGTGATGTTAATCCGGCTGGTTTCGGTCATTGACATTCCTCCGGGAACAAAGTAGGTGGCCTCGCAGTAGAAATTAGCATCTTTGTCCTCCTTCACCACCTTCATCCACAGCGTACTCTTGACTGAATACAAACCACTCGATTCAGTAGTGATGCTGGACTGCACTTCCACCACTGGAAGACACAAACAATTAAGACTATTAAACCACGTTAGGCACAAACTAAAACAGTAAAGTGCGTTGCATTAAGGTCTTCCTCACTGTCTGGAACACTGCGAAGTGGAGTGTTGTCTCTGTACCAAGTGATGTTCGGTCTGGGGTATCCCCTTTTGACTTCACAAGACCCAATCTGAGGGAGGGAAGGAAGAGAAGAGGTAAAAGAATAAACCTGTAACCTGAGTGGTATCTTGGAATTATTGAATACTTGATGGTCATGATTCAGTGTTTGCTCACCATGGATGGGTAGTCTTCATTGACTGAGATTCCTGTTTGCACACCCTCAATGGTAGGCTGGTTTGGTGTTTCTGCACAGGAATTAAGAAAGTTAAACATTGACTAAGGAACATTTATGTGTTGTGGCAGCTAAGAATTGGCACTTTTAAATGGAGGGAAACAGTTTCTTGCTTATGAGGAGTTGAATTAGTCATTTGAAGCAGTTAAGGATTGTAGAAATCTTAATGTGAACACTGAAAGGAGTTGAGGCACCAGTTAGGTGTAACAATTGAAGCAGTTTTTAGTTTGATACAGCCAAGCTTGAGTTTCAGGTGAAGTGAAAGCGATGAAAATGTTGTAAACTTGAGCTATTTCAAATAAATCATTTTCTACATAAAAATACAAAATTAAAGTTGAAACACAGTCAAGATCTTTCAAAACCAACAAACACCAATTCAACCCTAAAGTCATGTTTAGCTGGACAAAAAAAAAGCTATTTCTGATTTCTTAGGCTATCAACAAAGGTGCTTTGAGAAAAGGTGGAATTAAAGAAAAGCTATTCCATAAAATAATTTATGTAATGCATTTAAAAAGTTCTTTTAGCAAAGTAAATGTCAGCAATATTCTGGTCACATCTGCCATAGAACAAAACTGCCTCCCAAAAAGGAGATAAAGACGCACATTCTCATATCATAAGCCAGAAACACAATTGTCCCTGTCGACATGTCAACATTGCAAATTAAGTTTCTGAATTCTTTCATCCTGGAAAGAGTTTTCAGAAAGGTCTACATTTGTGTGTGGAAAATACCTGTGGACATGTGAGATACAGGACTGAAGTGATTGTTATTGAACTGTGAATACAGGAAAACTGAAAAAATGCCAAAAATAAACCATTTGCACTAACCAGATTCTGCAAAAAAAAAAAAAAAAAAGAAAAAACACACACACACAATACACACACACCCATTAGTGCAACCATAAACCCATTATTGATTCAGCTGCAACCAACAGTCATGACACAAAAATTCATGGACCAGTCAACTGAACTGGGCCGAACTGCAGGCTGTGTTTATTTAGAGCCGGTAGGAGGCAAGGATGGAAGCAAATTAAGCAGTAAACTATCTATCTATAGCATGTAGAGCCACTATTTTATTCTCATACCTGTGTGCACTTAGAAAAACATTGTACATGATTTCTTGCAATATAGCTGTGTCATACTGCACAAAGGACGCTTTTTTATTCTCTCTACTTCTAGCCATGGTTGTGCTGTTTCCATAGAGGTGCAGGACTTTTGATAGCAGTGAAAAATGAGCCCACAGTGAGTAAAAATGAGACATTAGCAGGAGCAGAAGCTGCTTGGAGTTTAGAGGGTTAAATGACGGTTATATGAGAAAGTAGGAAAAGAAAGTTAGAGTGAAGTGTTCAGAGGAACAATTACGAAGACACAAAAATGGGTTAAATGCTGTCCTGAAATGAGCACATGATCACCTTCTTGTTTGACACCCATGCTTGCAGAAATCAGCTATTGTTTCTCTAAAGTATTTGCTATTAGCTTTGCAAAGTGCCAGTTTTTTTTTATTGTCACTGAAACAATTTTGGAATAAAAACATACACTCTCTCAGGTGGAATCTTACCAAACACCAACAGCTTTGTGCGTCCCTCCCCGCTGCTGCCACCTGTGAGACTTTTGACGAGACAGATGAATTCAGTTTCATCTTCCAGCTGCACGTTCCTGATCGTCAGCACGATGTCTCCAGTGGCTCCAGTGCTGTTCACACTGATCCGGTCTGCATACGGTGTTCCTGGGTCCACCTTCTTCACCAGAGAGTCCTGGTAGTAGATGGTAAGCTTTTCCCCTGAACGTGTCACCTGAAGGTCAGAGTTCACACAAGCGTCACATGCATTAAAGCATCGTACTCATCTGCATGTATGTCTGCAGATAACATGTGATAAAACTTACATAGAACCACTGTATCATCATGTCTCCAATGCCCTCAGTCGATGTAAACATGCAGGTGATCTGAGCTGTCTGTCCCAAGGGAACCTCCACTTTGTCCTCCATGTTCACCTCCACCTTGTCCTCCATGTTCACCTCCACCTGTGCCCACGCTGGAAAAACAGAACATAGCTGCTGCTGAATGTGTCCAACACGTTTTAGTCGTTTATCACTTTCAGCTACGTCTTTGCACTAAAACAGGGTGGTGGAATTTTCTCTCTGTTATTTCAGCTGCATGATAATTAGTCATTCCTTTTTGCAGTGGAAAATCATGTCAGTGTAAGTTTAATATTTTTCATCAAGGAAGGCAGAAAGATCTTTGGGGGTATAACATAAAAGCTCCTTTCCAAGGTCAGCTCCTGTCAAAATGTACAATGGACAAAATGATCATTTAGAGTGCCAGTCAAACCTGAAATGAATTAAAACAATGAGTGAAAATAATTTCTGTTGCTCCACGCAGAGGTGATGTCACTGTCTTACAAAATATTTTGTCTCTTCATTGGATATTTTAGCACAATGCCTTAAATACATCATTATCTAGTCGCTAAGTTTTTCCATTGTTGCATTTTGTTTTTATTAGCCAAGCTTTAAAAAAAAAAAAGTTCCGATTTTTTTTCTCCACTCTGTTTGCATAACGACAGGTCGATGCAAACTGACAAATGTGCAGGTAACTGTAGCTCACACGACACACACAGATATATATATATATATATTCTGGAAACAATAGTTAAAAATAACAAACTTTATATTTTCAGGCAAAATTTGAAGCTATTGTGCAATGGTTCCATATTCAAAGTTTTGACTTGTGAAGGCAGAAAAATGCATGTTGGCTCACTGGCAGAGCTTACACTTGATGGAAGTGTTAAATAAATGTGCTGCACCAGAGTTTAACCTGCTACGATGAGCCAAAACGTCTGCTGTGAATGAGCGTTAGGAGGCTGCAGTTCATGCCTCTGTAGATCTTGTTGTGTAGCAGTTTGCAATGTGATACACAACAGTGTCTGGCTCAAAATGAAATGACTTGAAAAAGGTTCGACTAATACTCGTTATCCAGTCATGGAATATAACTAAGTACATTTACTCAAGTATTGTACCTCAGTGCAAAGTTGAGATATTTGTACTTTTCTTTTTATGCCACTTTTTACTTCCACTCCTCTACATCTCAGAGGGAAATATCCTATTTCTTACCTCACTACTTGTATCTGTCAGCTTTAGTTACTTTACAAATTAAGATTTACATACACAAAACAAATCAAGAACATATAAAATACAACATTTTGTTATGAATTTAAACTACCCAACATCATTTAGAGGGCTTGTGGCAGCATTATTTTCAGAATTTTTAAAAACCAAACAATCGATTCAGCGAGAAAATCTACGAAACTATACAAAATAGTTCAGTATGAGCTCTACCTCAATTAACTCTAACAGTAGAATCCTGATTTTAATGAATAATAATCAACCAATGATGTGTTATTTCACATTATAACAGTCACATGAGACATTTTTCTACACCGAGTACTTTTACTTTGAATACATAGTTTTCTTACGTACCACTTTCGATGCAGGACATTGACTTGCGAGCGATACTAGTACTAGTACTGAATAAACCAGTGAGCCAACCAGCACCGTCATTCATTTTATTGTTTATATCTTGGCCTTTTCTACAGCAACACATCTTCCATGAACAATATCCATGTATATTAAAATCAATGATGGATTTCTGAGGCCAACACACTGATGTGGATAGGTAAGAGTTAAACATATGGAATATTGACATATCAGCCAATAAGTCAAATGTGTACCGTTGAAATCTAAACTTTCTCTGCTGATGTTTTTCTTATTTTATACCAATCTCTCTATCCATACCAATACACTGGCTGTTACATCTGCGTGGCCAATCCAAACAATAAAGGTTGAATTAACTGAACTTGAAGTGGACAAGACGGTGAAACAGCAAAACCTCAACGTTAACGTCCAGAACTGCTGATTATCGTCTTCACAGGGAACTGAGGACACAGCACTTCTGCATCCACAAACTCAAAGGAGGAAAAGCAAGAGAAGAAAGTCATGGTGGGTCAAAGGGAAGAGAGAGATGCTATGACAGGAATGAGAAGCCCACCCATGTCCACATTAATGTGCTGCATTCCAACATGTCACCCTCTCACAGGAAGAAAGGCCCAATTTACAGGCAGCATAGTAGCCTCACTGTTCCTCCATGATGTGTCTCTGAGGAACGACTGGTTTTCCCCTTCAAGGGTTTTTTTGACGTGACGCATCCTACCAGTCTATAGGAGGGAACCCCAGCTACTCTTTACTTCACAGAATTTCAGTAGATGTATGAGACGCCAACGAGACATGTAGCCTGGAGGTCGTGAGGCTGCCAGGTTTGATTTAGGCTTTCCTGGGACTCTGTTCATTGTGTTGGCAGCTTTGCCCGCAGAAAAGAGAGAAGTGATGGCGGGAAATATCTGAGTTTATGTAAAGTGCTGCTCGGGAGAATGTAAATGTGGTTCATCTGTGTCCTGCTCTGACCTTTTTTTAAATTCAGTTTAACTTCAGGAGCCATTTCCATTTCTCTCCTCTGATTTATGAGGAGTAAATTGTTTTTAAATAAGGTTGTGTTGAAAGTGAGTAATAAATCCCAGACAACACAACATTTAGTTTCGTCCTCCACTACTGTATATTAGAAACAGATAACAGAAAACTTATTCATGACCTTGGACACAGATGAATCTGCAACTTGCAGTCTTGTTTAGCAAGCTGAGGTTTCTTAGTCGTCATGGAGACAGTTCAGTTATCGTCACATGAAATGATGATGGAGCTTAAGTCGTGTTAACAGTTATCATGTGTTTATCCACTTAAGAAGAAAGAGCAGTTTATTGAACTTATAACAAAAATGAATATAGAAGTCAGTAGTTATGGTACCCAACTTTTGGTACAACTGACGCACTGATCTTATACAACACATCCATTTATAGCATTTGTATTCATTTTTGTTTGTTCCATTCCTGGGTTTACCCTCCAGTCGATTACTAGCGGCAGCAGTAAACCCAAGTCACAGTTATTAAGCCCTTGAAGTTCAAAATCCACCAGCAGGTTTGGAAAGCCTTATAACCTCTAATAAAAATCACCAAAGAATCACCCAGAAACTGCAAGAAGCGTTGTATTTTCAATTTTACAGTAATTCTTGAGTAAATTAAGTGTGACTTCCGGCTCAGTCAGGAACAAATCTACGCTTTAGATCTTAAGCTTTCAAGTCACGTTTCATTAAAATCACTTTATCCTGGATGCCTCATTTTAAAAAAATAAAAATATTTTGCAATAATTTACAATTTAACTTGATATAGAAGTGAAAAATGAGCTCACAGCAAAATGTGACAGCAGCAAAAACAAAAATAAAAAATACCCAGAAGCTCTTTGGAGCTCAGAGGGTTAATTTATACAACAGGGATTAAGTCCATCCTAAAGGATCAATAATTCTCTACCTGTGCTCCTATTGCACTGAGCTTTTGCACTGAGTGTTACACATGATGGTTTGTTGTGATTTTTTTTTTCTTTTCTTGTCAAAATATGTTTTAAGTTAGATAGCAGAATAAATCTTGCATTGCTCAGTCCTTGAAATAATACATCTGCCCATAGCTTGCTGAGGTGCTCTTGAGGAAGGCATCTCTTAAATACTGTTGCTACTGCATTTGAGGTTGGAGCACAGCTTTATTAAAAAAACAGCCTATAAGCAGCCAGCTCTTCCTAAAAACTAACAATGATGATAAACAAATTCCAAAGATGAGAAGTGTAGTTGTTTTACATTTAATTTTGTTTAGCTGTTCTTCAAAGGGAGAATTGCTAGACTGATGTTTCAGACGGAGGAGCTGGACATGTTTAAACTGAGTGTGAGATCTAAACACACTTCTTGCAGGAAAACGTGCCAGCTGTGTGGTCCTTAGTTACAGTGAATTACTGTAGCAGCAGCCTGCTGATGAGCTTATTATCCAGACACATCCTTGCTCCCCTCCCAGTGTTTCGCCCTGTTATCATGCACATGGATAACACGCATTTCCAGAGCCGACCTCCTCCAAAACTAAACCTCTAACCACTGCAACAAACATGCCTCCCCCTTCTCTTCTTCACCGCTTTTCTGTCAACCTCCCTCCTTGAATTTCTTCCCCGTTTATCCTCTCCCACCTGCCTCTCCCTCTGCTGTGTGTTGCTGTTTACTACTGGCTAATGGAGCTGGATGGATGCTTTCCTGTTAAAGAAATCCAATTAGCTTCTCCAACATAGACATTTCCTGGCCATTAGCGATGGAAGGACATCGCTGACTCACCCGCAGCACTGCCTCCCCTCCCCCACCTGAGGACTCACCTACAGTAAGTGGGACTCAGTGGGGCATGAAGGGGAGTAATTCAGATTCTACTTTGTAGCTCAGACTGAATGTTTCACAACCTCCTTCCCCCCCTCCATCCTGTCAGCTGACAGCTGGAGTGTGTTCCCTCGTGGGAGTCTTAATCATATCTCATTTGACCGGTATTCATCTCGCCGGTGCATCCGTCAGAGGAGCTGGCACTGCAAGGCCTCACATCGATCCTTTCTGATGATGAGAGAGCAGTTACTCGAGTCCATGTGCAAGGGGATAATAGTCTTAAATCAGAATGATAGACAAAAAGCTGAGCATCCCTTCTGACAGCAGCATGCTGGGAACGCTGGGTCTCTCCACTGTCAGGAGCTCCCCTCTGCAAACAATATTAATATATAGTCAAAAAATCTTCATCTAAAACTCGACTGAAAATGACCACTTTAATGTACTTGTTTCTTCAGACTATTTATTAATATTGCTATCATACAGCACTGCCCAAAACACATCAGATGCTTGGATTCCTATCCATCAGAATCATGAGAGCAGCGTTTGATCGGTCTCAGATTCATGTTTTAGCATGACAACAACAACAGACAAACAGCCAGAGTCATAAAGAACTATGTTAAACCACGAAAACATCAAGGAGTCGTGCAACAGTTGGTATTCCCCCCAAAGCAACCCGGCTCCAGTTTCACAATGATAGACATTGACTATTATTTCGATTCAATTAAGTGCCAAACATCTAAATGTATCTGT